CAGTCAGTGCATGAATTTGTTTTCCTCATATTCACTGAAATACAATGTTTTGAAATAAAGCTGACCTTTTTTCAGAAATTAAAGGAATATCTGGACCATGAGCAAGGAGGGGATTTGTCTTTAGACCGTGTTGTTTACATCACCTGTCCAAAACTCGAATATTCTGCATTGAAAGATGTTATTATACTAGACTGGTTCGTATATTTTAAACATAAAAGTAGCAACCATGGGTCATCAAAATATTATCGACCTAATCGATTCAACAACTTACATAAATGAAAAAAAAATGGGTTTCAGATATTATTTAATAATTTCGCTTGAAAAGCAGGAGGGTATATAGTAATCAGTATCTCCGTCCGTCCGTCTGTACGTCCGTCAGTCCGTCTGTTACGCTATGGGGTACTCATCTCTTATCCGCAACTCCTCTCATACCACTGAATGAAATTTGATGAAAGTTTCACGGAATCTTTATTATGTCACCCTTAACGAATCGGGGGCACATATTGCGATTGTACGCATGCTTTTGTTCTCCAGGTTGTTTCTCGGAGATGGCTTGGAAAATATTCCTGAAACTTTCCTCAAAGGACTACCACTGGTTGTAGTTTTGTTGTGTGGTCAAAATGGCTACCATTGCCTTAGAGACGTTCGAAAAGTGACGAGCTTTGTCCGCGAGTGTTCTCTCTGGTCCCTTGAACATAATATTGGTCATGGAACTTTTTTTAGTGATAAGTGATTGTAATTGTGCGATTTGCATTTAAAATGATCAAATAATTGATTATTGCCATGGAAACCAGGGGAAAGTGAAAATTCTTTAACTTTGATTTGTACTGAAAGGACTGATACGAAATGATGGTTGTCCAAACTTAGCTAATGGGTATTGTTTTAGAGATACAAACAAAAAATTCAAGTCTTGTTCAGTTCGGGGCAACATGCGCTATTGCTTGCAATAGCAGACTTTCTAGTTACATTTGCCATTGCGAACCTCCTATTTTACTTTTAGATCCGAAACATATTTCGGGGTTCCCATAGCAAGACTTGGACACTGCCATTTTATATATTTAGGGGAGAAAAGGGGGTATCATTTAGCCAGCTCATTGCTCTTAGTACCTCTATTTTTCTATGTATATCTACACAAAGGTAGATAAAAACAGATGTAAGTATTTATTTCTCGTTTTTATTTACATAAAAAGTTTTATTATGTAAGTATAGATGTTGCTTGACGAACGTAATGAAAGAGTTTGTTGGATATGTGTCATTGCGTAAAAAGATTCGTAGTTAAGTGTTGAAACATATTTCATCAAAACTCGCATCTGAATAAAAGAATCTTTACACTTTGGATAAGACAGGTTACTATATGTTCAACAATCGTTTGCGATTTTTAGCATTTAGTAACATTTGATTCTACGACATTTGATGTTAAAGGGACGTGGACACAGTTTCAACTGTTTTTTGAAAACAATTTTAATTTTAACAAATCCTATCTAAAGCATCATGTAATGATCAACATAAATGTGATCATCATTTATGCTTACCGAAGGAGATACAGTACTTAAATATCTTCATAATGTAAACAAGGCCTTTTTTGTTTATATATAGAAAATATACTAATCACTAAAAATTGTCTCATCGTATTTAGAAAGAAAGATATGGAGATAACAAACAGTATTCAATATAAAAGTCCATAAAACTATGAATTAGGAGCAGGAAAAAACTACAGATCTCCAAAACATCAAAGGTGGGGTCAATTTTTCATTGAGTAAAATTTAAAAAAAAGATGTTGGATCAGGTGCTATGGAGGAGTGAGCATCCCCTGTCGACTGGTCACATCGCCGTGTGCTTCTTGTCATGAACAGGAATTACCTGAAAAATCCGTTTATCCGTACTGTAAATAATGGACCAACAATTAGTATGAAAAACGTCAGTCAGCAAAATTAAGTAATGATAAGTTGGTTTTGCTGACAAGGTCATTGTATCGACCATAGAACTTACGAAATGATGATTTTAAACGAGGCTGCTGATATTCTTGCTCCATCAACTTGTTTGTCAATAGTTTACCTCATGTTACATATTATTTATTATAAATAATATGTAACATGAGGTAAACTATTGAAAAATTTTACATGAAGAGCATGCTCTTTCGTATCGAAACAAGTGAGATATATAAACTCCGTGTGCAGGTGATATAGGTACATAATTGCATGTGTAAGGGAAGTTGACAATAGAAAAGTAATCACGTTTATAATAAAGCTTGGTAAAAAGATTATCATTATTGTCTTTTTCAAGTAAAATACCCAAGTATGATTGATTGTTTGTATTTTGATTGAACGTCCCTCGAGGATTTTACACCTATATTGAAAAGCCATCACTTGCCGGTGCAGAGCTGCAAATCTTCTCCTGTAGTCGGCACTCAGTGCCATTGAGCAGGGAGGGGTCTTTTTCGTGCCAGCTCCTATTGTGGGACCTCTGTTTATACGGTCCCATTCGTAGGACCGGTCTCGACGTCCCACAATGGGAATTGAACTGCGATGTAAGGATTCACTCCTTACTTCGCGACTCTAGAGCAGATGCTCGGACCAATGCGCCACGCGGGCGACCATCCAAGTACGAAACAGATATTTAATATATACGTTTCATATATTAATTCGTCTTCTCCACTCGGCGAGCAGGGTGTTGACACTGTTTCTAGAAATAAACGAAAACAGGGCCATGCATGCCACATAATGGTTGTGTAGATAGATTAGCGTAGAAGACAATGTCATTAAACACTTTTTAATTGCATTTCCTCTGAAATTGTAAATGAGTAAGTTTCTGAGGAGTGGTTTAAGGTATCAAATGTATAACAAGCATTGTTGAAGAATGAAATTTTACCTTATATTTCCTTATCTTTAGTGTTTTGAGACTTTCATTCCAAAGTTACATAAAGTCTTGTCCAGACATATCTGAAAAAAGTAGTATTTTCAAGTCATACCCCCACTGTAGAAAACAGTGAAGGGTGTGTTATACCAGAAGAGGATTTCTGTGAAATAAACTCATTTTCAGACTTTAATTTTACGTTAGATGAACAAAAATAACATAGACGCTTCATAATAAAAGATCTTTTTTTCAAAAGTTACAATAAATTAATAAAATTTCCAGATTAAAATACGTTACTCAATGCTAAGTGTGTATTTCTTATAAAAACAATTAATTTTTAATTAAAAAAAGAAAAGAGTGGGCTAAAAATTTCTTTGATAGAAAATGACTCTAATCAATGTTGTACAAAAATAAAATACATAAAATATTTTTTACCAGGATATTTTGGAGTAATTAAGCATTTACTACCCCTTACCCCAATTTTAAAATCCGTTTGCTGACACACAAATATAACTTTTCATTCTCAACACTATTAGTATGATTATGCCATACTTATATATTGATAAGTGTATAAAACAACATAAATAAATAAGCCTTATGACATTTTTAACAATGTCCTTGTCCTTTTAACCTTGAAAAAAAACCCCAATGTATTTATACACTTGTACAAGAACAATTCTGGGAGATAAAAAAAAATGTACATGTAATCTTGTTCTTTAGTTTAAAAGTATGGTATTTTTTCCTCATATGTACAGAGAATTACAAAAAATCATGAAAATGAAATCAATTTAATATAAATATTTATTATGATACCCCCCACCCATCTATTTTTTTCTCTATGAAATAAATACCTAGATTAAAAAACCAAAATGTGTTTCCCTATTTTTTTTTTATTTTTTTTAAATAATAGTAGAAATTATTTAGTCCTAAAAGTTTTGTTCTTTTTTTTTAAATTTTATTTTATTAATTTCCTCTCTGTTACGGGTATTTTAAATACCTTTAATTTAGAACCAGGAAGATTTTTTTTTTCATTTTGGAAAAACAACCTTAGTATACAGTCATGTAGTTATACAACAAAAAAACATCTGTTATGTCCAGAAAATATTTTTTTTCATCAGAGAAAACTCAGGGAATTTTTTTTATGCAAACGAATGGCAATGTACATGTACCGATCTATAGCTGTAACCGCGGTCTAGATCTAGTTAAGCGAATTAACATGATGATAGATGCACACTTCCATGTGTTTTTTTCTACTGAAAAACGACTAGAAATAACGAAAATCTGTTAAAATATTACATAGTTTAAAGAAATAAAAAAAAATTACCTCATTTTCTCTACACATCGAAAGATGTGCTATTTTTAGAACATGGAAAAACCCAAGTATGTTTTACTTTGAAAAGATTGTTTATGCAGCAATTTGTCTAACAAAACTACTATATCATGGTTTTCTATCAATCTAACATTTGTTCTTTCCTCTGTTAAGTATATTTCTCTCATCTGATGGCATGAATAATGCCAGCGTCTATCAAGCCGTGTTGACGAAGAGCCATGCTTGTTTACGACGGTCGATAACTCTTAGACAGAAACAGTGTTACGACATCGGCAAACGCCGTCATTTTTACCGGAAGTGCCCTGTTTTTCATCTAAATCCTTAATCACCCCTACTAATGTTATTGTTATTTAAATTTACATCACGTGGTTTTTCTTGAACTAGTCAAAGGTCATTAGGTTCGCAGTAAAGGAGAACGTTCATACCTATAGTCTGTTTTCTGTATATAACCCAGATCTTGTCAAACCAGTTACGAGCAATTCCTTTATACAGTTAAAGATACACATCAAATGTTAACAAGCTTATCGTCATCATGGTTCAGGAACATTTAATACTTAGGGTTCCATATCCAATACATCCATCCGGGCATGGAAGGGGGGGGGGGCTTGGAGTTATTTGGATTTCAGAGCTAGTGTTATAAGTATATATTAAATTAATATTAAATGATACAAAAATATTTTTTAATGAATATTGAATTACAAACAATCTAAATGACTTAGAAACTCAGATCCTGGATCTCTAAACATGTCAAGTTGGTTAGACATGCAGGAAATTAACCCCCTCCACCCGAAACAAACACAATTTATTCTCTTTTTTCCAACTTCATTTTATTTGGAAAGGAGGGATGAGACCCATCCATCATGCTTCTCAATATTTTTTTCTCCCATTTTCATACTTCTTTATTTTAAACCCTACCCCTAGGGTTTAATAAATTTTCCAGAGCACATCGGATATTTGTATTGAAGGTATGGATGGTTCCAGGAAATCTTTGTCCACATGAGTGGTGGAGGTGGGGGTGTTAAATACCAACATCCTTAGTCAGAATCATAAAAACATAAAAATGGGAGGGGGTAAAAAAAAAACATGTATGAAAACACACACACACACACACAAATCTAATTTCCTAGTCATACCTAGAATGATTTAGCAAACTTCAAAACCTAACCCTTTTAAATCTAGCTAACTGTTACAAGTAGGTGTCACTTGATCATGATCTTACATATACTTAGTATATCCCTGTCCCCAATGTCAAGTTTGGCTAAAAATGTTCACATTTCTTCACATTGTGCCTTTTTCCTAGACCCAAAAGCATTTAAATAAATATGTAGAATATATACAAGTACATGTAAGCTCTTAGTACAACCAGTTCCTTTTAACTGAGATCATACTTGAGAAAAGATCCAACAAGATGTTTTCTAAATATAAGTTTCACCATAATAAATATATTTCTATATTTTAATCTCACTCTGTGAAATATTTTGAACCCCTAGCTGTATTGGCAAAACACTTCTGGCCACAGCTCCAATGAACAAGGTTCAATATATAATCATGATATAAAAATACTTTTTAATATTAGCACAGTTTATTTCAACATCATTAATACTAGTAAGAAAAGCAGATACTGGACACAATGAGGACATTTCTAAAACATATAAAATAAAATTTACAGATTTATCTCTTTGATTTTTGTAAAACTGTCATGCATAATATATATATCATTCAGATTTTTTTTTACATTGTGAACAAGGGAAATGACTCTTTTGGGAAGATCATTTATTTGTACAGATTTTCATGTACATGTATATATTTTTTTAAAATAGCCATTTCATTTGTGAAATATAGATGTACATGTATTAAACCCATTTACTCTGCTTGAATTAAAATCAGCAGAGTTCAAAACAAGACCTTTCCCATGTTCCAAAATTAAATTTATTACATAGAATGCACTACAAATCTAAGGTTAAGGGAGATAGTTCAATAAAGAGCAATATGAGCCGCAATTCAAACTTCATAAAACCTTGAAATTTGAAATTTTATGTTAAAACATTTTTGGTGTAAAATTGCAGGTCATTACTACAGTATTTCAATGACAGTAAAAGAAAAGATTATAATCTCTATTATCCATACATGTATTTACATTAGAAAGTCTTTTTAGGAAATTCTGATTGAAAAAAAAATTACATCTTTTATCCTTAAAAAAAAAATTGATTCCTACATAATATCATTACATTTGACATAAACATTGCAAGCTTTATACAGTTTTAAAATAAGCCATTATACTTACATACAACAAAATACTTAGTATTCATTGTCAACCACTTCTAAAATTGGATCAGTATCATTTCAACCAGAGACTAAAATCATTCAAAATTGATCACCATTATTTTGGGCTAATTGCATTTGCTTCTGCTAGCCTCTGTTTCATTCAGCAACTGTTCTTTTTTTTCTGTGTAAAAAAATACAAGGTCCCAACTCCAATCTTAATGCAGTGCTGATATTCTGTCATCTTTTATAAATGCATGATCTGGATTCGAAAAAAAAATCAAACATCAATTCAAAGATTATACATGTACATACTGCAGATTCCTTATTTTTTATGAGTACTTATTATTGAAAAATAACTCTTAAAAACATTATATCGCAAGAATATATATTTGTGAATGGGCGGTTGATAAGGAGAATGTGCATGGGTTTCAGTACCATAAAAATAAAAGTGAAACATTTTATTTTGCAAGTGATGCTACATGCAAAATTGCAATGATAAATTCCTTGCATTTAACAAGGAGTTTACAGCATATCACATCAGTCTGTTGTTGTATACATAAAACTTTTTAACTTTTAAAATAAACAAGCAATACATTGTGTAAAATGTACTCAGATTTATAATTGACTGCTAGCTATAGCCTATATGGACCATGATGCTCCTCTGAGACATGTCAATTGAAAATAAAATACAACCATATTTTCTTTAAACATGTTAAAAATGACATTTTACGCATGAAAAGTGTGACTAATTTTTAGGTGAAGTTCATTCAAAAAAGAAGTCTCAATATTAAGTCAGATTATATTTCTGTGTTAAAAAAAATAAGAAGCCAATGTCAAATCAGTATATAGGGGTGGATACATGAATATTTTGTGAATTAGTTTGTGCCATTTCTTGTCAGGAATTCCAGAAATTTAATTCAAAAACACTCATATATCCACTCCTATAAATGTGCAGATCTGAATCTGCAAAAATAACTGAAAAGTTTTGCATGAATATGAGATTGTCATTGTGTCATTTCTTGTAACCATTCTCCTGAAATTATTTTACCTTCAATTGGTTTGGGCCAAATATGAATGTACCTAACAAGAATCAGTTTTCAAAAGTACAATGTACATGTATTTGTAAGTTCTGGATATTAGGAGGAGTTAAAATTTGTTAATAGTAATAGCAAATGCATCATTTTCTTGAAAATTCTTGAAATTTCTTGAAGAAAATCACTGATCTCAATCAAACCCTAAATCTTTGAAAAGCCATCCTCCCATTTGAGATACAAATTCCAACATCCAATTTAAAAATACTGAACATCCTCTCCAATGTGACATTTACATTTTCATACGTTCATTTTTGAATTTAATAAATAAGAAAAAAGTGAAGCAATTCTGCAAATTTATGTATCATTTCATACAATCAGCCTCTTAAAAAGATTTTAAAATTTCTTAATGGACAAAGGGCATACTTTAAATACATATAAGATAATGACGGCATGTGTTGAACTTTTCTTAATATAATATGCAATATCATACCAAATTTTTGCATGCATGTTCAAAATCAACAATATTACCTTGATAACCCTGTCCAACATGTTCCATTTCAATGGTTCCTTTTCCTCATCCTTCAAGAGTTTTAAGAAGTTTCAATATCCACCTCCACAAAGGTTCTAAACCAGCATCTTTGTCAAAAACACCTATAAATAGAGTCAAATATTAAGGCATTTGAAATAGTGTGTATTGTAATGTTAATTTCCAATCTTTGATGTCAAGGAAGTTTAAAGAAGGTCATGTGTAAGAAATTTATCAATGAATATTGTCTTCAGTACTGAATTTTGTATTTTTCTGAATTAAAAAGCCATGAAGTTACAGAAAGGACGTACATGCAGCTAAAAAATACATTTGTGTTTTGAGAATTTTGAGATGTACATTAGATACACCAGTTCATTATATTTTACATTTTAAACAGTGAAATACTGTAATTCATTCATAATGATATTCTTTCACAGTGTGAAAGGTTATCAAAATGATATCCTTTCACAGTGTAACAAATACCATGCAGAAGTGCGAGAAAACTCTCAATTTTCCTTCCCATTACAAGGAATGTTGTAAAAAATATTCCTTGGCCTGTTATAAAATGGAGAACAAGTTAATAAACCATTCTGACAGAGATAAAGACTGCAAACATTCCTCAAATATGCTAATTGCTGAAATTTATCTTTACAATGTTTTTCACTTTAAGCTGACGTCTTAAACGCTCAACTATGATGTCATGTAGCGTATGACTACATTACAAAAAGACGTAGACAAAGGGAATTCGAAAATCAAAGAAAATGTAATAAACAGCAAATTCAATGTTTATGGAATTTATTTCACTCATGAGACAAAATATCCTGTCCCACTCATGAAATAATTTACATATTCAACTACAAAACATTGAATATCCTCAATATACATGTGTACACTTAACTGTACTAAACAAGAGGCCCATGGGCCACATCGCTCACCTGAGTAGCTTTGACCATGCTGTTCTTTATCAAATTCCTCCACTGTAATACATATTGTGACCCAACCCTACCACATGGGTCATAATTTGGAAAATTTAAAATCTACACTACCCACGGATGCTTCCACATAAATTTCAGTTTTTCTGGGCCAGACAACTGGTGATAAAAGAAACTCACTTGAGTTTTTTGCCCAGGTGAGCTAAAATCTTTATCTCTTTTGTCGCCCTACCTTTTGGGGCTTTGTACTCAATCCTCCAGGGCAATGATAACAATTAAATCTATATATGCTACATTTTTACATGTCAAGACAGCATTCATGTCTGGACTATCCTTAGGAAGGAGGCATTGCATTTTCTTTAAACATTTTCTTATAACCTTCATTCCCTTGTTCAAGAATACTTTGTGCCAAGTTGGTTGAAAGAAGGATATGGAAATAACGAACAGTATTCAATCTCAACGTCCATTAAACAATATACAAAATAAGAGCAGAGCAAACATGGACCTCCGAAACATCAGAGGTGGGATCAGGTGCCATGGAGGAGTGAGCATCCCCTGCCGACCGGTCACACCAGTGACTTGAAAGTGGCCCAGTGGAGAATGTGAGAGTTTATATACAAAGATGACAACAAGGGCAACAATACTCACAATAAGTACACCAATATACAATAGACAAATTTTAATCAGAAACTCCCTTGAGACTCTGGCCCTAGGGACTTACACTTTTGACAAATCCTGCTTTGTGTGTATTTTGAAATTGCCTCTGTACATGTTTTTATGTCTCAGTGGACAGTTTCTTGATGTTCTTGAACAGATTTTGTTATTTGTTTGTGATCCTGACATCATCCTGTAGATGATAGATTGTCCAAATCCCTGTACCACTACTGTCTTTCAATATATTAAGGGTATGATGGGCGACTGGTATACAGCATCAGAATATTGATGTGAAATAACATTCCTGTAGAGACCTGAAAGTTAAGGCTCAGTGATAAAAGTTAATCAATATGAAGGCAAAAGTTGTACAATATTGCATAAATGATAAAACCATTTAAGTAATATCTTACAGTGATCAAGATCTAGTAATTACTGTCCTTTTGTTGCTAGCTAGTTCTATGGAGATCAAATTAAACTTACTTTTCCCTCTTCTTTATGCAGAAAATGAAGAATTTTCATGGAAAAATTTGAAATCAATCATGTCAAATGTAACCATAATCATGATGATACCTTAATTTATTCAGTTTAATATCATTTTAAAGCAGATTGAAGAAGAAAATGAAAAATAAAGTTTTCTGAGAGACATACGGTTCAACATGTTCAATGGCAATATCGATTTATTTCTTGGTATGAGACAGAGAGGAAAACTCCAACACTTACACCTGCATGATTTTCTTCATTTTTCATTGAACTGAATGCAGTTTAAAATATATATATTACTGAGTTTACCTAAAAATTATATCTCAATACACCTTTAATTACCAAGCTACACTATAATTGTAACAGGATCATTAACAGACTCAATTTATACCTCAAATTTTAGAATTCTGTAGGAACTTTTCATTTAAAAACTAAATTTTGACTTTTATAAAATGTGTGAACTAGCATAAAAATATCATTTAAATTACTAGACAAATAGCTAGCTTGTATATAAATTTGCATAAGAAAAGTCACATGTAAGATGCCAAAAGTAAATTTATTTGGTGTAGATGTTATTCATCATTATCAAAGGTTAAATCTTAATAATTTGTCTCTGAGTGAACTTGTCCAACAAGTATATTGCTATAAAATAACTTTTAATACCCAATTTAAGCAAAGTTTACAAAACAAATTTTGCAAAATTAAATTGTACGTGTATTGGAACAGGATTTGAACATGTTAAATGAGTAATCAGTTGGCCTAATATTGTGCTATTCAGTGCTTTGCAAAAGATTATTTTTCCTCTTATTTATTAAATGTTCGTGATGATAACTACAAGCACATACATTTATTAATCACAAAAATTATAAAGCAGGTACACAGATTCAGGTGGGGAGGTGGGGGTTTTGACACTAGCTCCCTCTAAAACACACACAAAAAATTTTTTAGATATGATGGGTATAGTTTTCATTGCTGTACACTCGACGTACACTGACAAAGTAAAATCAGAGTCAATTCTGTGTCAAAATAAGGTTATCTAATTGTTGAGGGATCTTTTTTATGCCATCACCTACTGTGACAATTAACATGATTAAAGAACCTCAGTTTATACAGTCTCATCTGAAGGACCGTCTCCAAGTGCCACAGGGGATTCGAACATGTGATGTAAGGATTGACTCCTTTATACTTCGCGACTCTAGAGCAGACACTCTAACCACTGCGTCAAGCATGGATTTGAGCGAAAAAATGCAATGAAGCTACCCCTGGAAAAATAAATGACACCTAAAAACTAAAATTAAGCCTGAAGCAGAATTATGCCTACTTGAAAGTCCTTATTATCATATTATACTACTATCATGACTATGTGACTTAAAATGCTGTAAAGCCAAGAAAAGCAATTGAAAGTTGATTTACATACATGTATTGTAAATAATATTGATTTACAATTGATTTACAATATGTAAATGCTGACTGATGTTTTTCATACAAATTCTTAACCCATTATTTATACATTGAATTGACGACGGATTTTTCCGTAATCATGACAAGGAGCACAGGGCGGGTGCGACCAGTCGGCAGGGGATGCTCACTCCACCATGGCACCTGATCCAACCTCTGATGTTTCGGAGGTCTGTATTTGCTCTGCTCCTATTTTGTATTGTTTTATGGACTTTGATATTGAATCTGTTCGTTATCTCCATATCCTATGTTTAAGATGACGATAAATTAGCCTTTTGCATCATGTCTGTGAGAGATATTTTATTCGATAATGATCAATCATTTTAGTCAGGCCAAAGTTTTTTTTTCTCTTGGTTTACGATTCCGCCGACCCTATTTTTCCCTATTTACGAAAATAAAAATAATGTGTCTGGCTCGAAATTTTCTTGACCAAACCAAAATTTACAACACATCTTAATCATTAACACAAACTCTCACAGACATTAAATGAACTCTACAAATACAGATTGTCAAACCACATTGCCAATGACCAATGGATCGAATACTCCGTCGGAACTCCTCTAGATTTTACACTTCCGGGTATGAAAAAGTCCATCGTTACAAGTTATACACAACAAGACGCAAAACAGCTGGACAGCTATCGATGTCATGCCAAAGATGTTGGAGAAGATTTTAGATCTTTATTATTGTCAAATAATTAATTCATGCTGTGAATACAGACATATTTTTACTGATAAATTGTGAAGTTATTAGCTTTCTAAGAAGTTACACTTCGATAAATATAAGTATAGCTGTTCAATCAGCATGCAGGTGTGCATCAAAACTTTTATAGTCCAATCCACACTTTGCAAAAGTTGTTTCCCTTTGCGGGGTCAACCAAAAGGTCAAAAGGGAAAGAAACGTCATTTCTCCTCTTTATGCTACCAAATATTTGGGCGTGCTGTGAAAAATCCATTGTGTTAAATTTTTTTTCTTTCAACGTGTGGGTAGCCCCATCTTGGGGCAATCAGTACACAAAAGGCAGAGCTTTTTAAAAGTCAAATGACGAAGTTACAAACCTGAAAACTGCAAAGGCTACTGTGTGGATTGTATGGGTTTATCCCCTAAGATGGCGGCCAAGGGACATAACTTTTGCAAAGTGTGGATTGGTCTAACGGAATTTTATATTGAAAACAAGTTTAAAGAGAAATTAACAAAATTATGACTATGCCTGGATTGCCAAAAGCCTGGAAATCTAATGAGAAGAGAAATTTTAGAAGTTTAAGATTGTACTACTATATTAGAAATGAAAAAAAAATGTTTGATAAACAATTAATCTGACAATAAGAAACTTGTACAGTTTAGTAGTAGTAGTAGTAGTAAATTTTATTTAATGTCAATGCTGTTTTATTACTTTTTCTAGATATTTATATACCTTGTAATTTGGGGGAAATATCTTTTAAGATTCTTTTTATCTTTTTTAATCATTTTAAATATAATGTTTATATAGAAAATTTTTTGAAATGTAATAATTTTATAACGATTAAAGTGTGCCACATATACGCACCAAGAAGTCTCCTTAAATTTCAAAACTTCTCCTTAAATTTCTTTAAGGGAGAAGTGAAGTCTCCTTAATCGAGTGGGTCTAGGTCGGTCCCTGGACACAATATCTAAAGGTAAAGGTTTGTTGTGAAAGCAATCACTTTCGGAGTTTCAAAAAAAATTTCGTAAGTGGAAAGGCTGACCAGAGAATAGCCAATTTGCTTAATTTTACCCATATTTGTCCCAGTGCAATATGTGTCTATTATGGAAACTCAGACTTGTAAGTCGGAGGAATGAAAACCATCAACAGTAACAGAGCCTGTTACTCCCATTTCTGTTCTTGAGTAACTTGACGTGTGATTCATTTTTTCTTGACTTAAAACCGAATTTAAAACCGAATGATAAGAATAAATAATAATTAAAAGTTAAAAAATCTTGTGTGTTTATTATTTTTATTTGAATACATTTCAATGCTACTCGAGAAAAAAATATGTCAAGGTTCCAAATTATTTTTATTTTTATTTTTCGACCACCCAATGCATATTTTTGTGTCAAAAAATCGTAAACCAAAAAAAAATAAAAACTTTGGCCTCATTAACATCTAAAATATTATAAAAATATACTAAGAGAAATTATTAAAGCAATTATACATGTATTTCTTTGCATAAGGGACACTGACACACACCATCATGACTGTGAGATAATTAAGTTTATAAGAATTTAACAGACTTTTTGAAATACTTTTATCACTCCTGGCATGATAATGAATCAATTAAATTACTTACTAGTACCATTCATGTTCAGTACTTAGTACTTTACAGTAAGTGTCTGTATGTCATCTAAGATTGTGATCAAGGAAATTTAAATAATTTTCAAGTAATATTTGGTGGTGGTATTTTTTCTATAAAAATAATGTAAGGGGGCGCTTTGACTAAAATCCGGGGATGCTTTGACTAAAATTAGGGGACACTTTGACCAGGACGTTTTTATTAGGGGGCAGGTGGACTGGCTCTCGCTGCACTCCCTCCCCCCTTTTGATTTGCAAAATAAGAGAGAGAAAGAAATACCCAAATTTCTACAGTGTATTTTGTTCTTACTATAGAAAATGTTCATTGAAAGGCTAATGTTGTGATATAAAAAGAAATTTGGTTGTGATAACAAAATGAAACCCTACTTCTTTACATAGTAGAATTTACAGGTTCAAAGATTTATTTTTCACTTTTCACTTTTTCAAAAAATTTAAGGTAATCTATAGATACAAGTATTTTTTTCAAAGGTTGATCAACCTATACCATTTTTAAAAACCACACTCCAACCTGTATCCTACTGAGTTATTTAACTACATCTACATGTTTAAGTAAAACGTAAGTTACAATGTATATAAACTCTTTCCTTCTTCACCCCCCCCCCCCCCTCGCCCTTAAAAAATTTCTAGATCCACGCCTGAATAATAATCACCAGGTGATCACTTGAGGGTTGTTTACATTGTCATTTACCATTTCTAATCTTTTGAATGTCACATTCATTCTATATTCATTTAATTAAGCACTTCTTCACACGTTTATTACATGTATATTGCATGTAAGTAACTGAGAAATTGTGTATCTGCTATTGTAAGAAGTAAAACAGACTATAACATTTTCTGCACATTGAATCATTTTCACTTCTTTTAATACTGGGGTAAAATATTTCACAACACCAAGAACAACATAAATAATTTAGTATATTAATTCAAAAACATTGACAAGCCCTATATATTTTTATAACACCAAAAGATTTTTATTTTTCCACCCACGTGGAGGCATGTAAACAAAGGACGATAACTCTAAATGCACCTGATTTAATGTTTCTCGTTTCATGTGTTTGAGGTGATAGAATTCGAGAAATAAGGACTAATTGAATCAAATTTTATGTGCAAAAAAGTTCAATTGAATGAAGGCAAATAAAATGAGCTTTACTTACATTAAATGCATAAATCCCAAAACACACATATACTTCCTGTCTAAATCTTACAGGAACTGGTGCAGATCTCGCACGGTCTCGAGGCTGGTCTCGTTAGAGGTCAAATCGAACACTCGGATGTTACGCTACACTTAACAGTGATAAAGAAAAGCATCCGAACACATTAGTAGGGGTGTTAATGAGTGTATCCAGAGTTAGATACCATAAAAGCTATTTTTAGCATATAGGTCACAGTCAGTGTCCCACAATCATTGTCCTTGATTTCATTTGAAAGCACTTGATAAGTGGAATATGCATACCAAATAGAAAGTCTCAAATATAATATTTCCTAGGGTTCAAAAGTTCGAAAAAGCTATTTTTAGCATATAGGTTACAGTCAAGGTCACAAGGTCATTGGCCTTGTTGGCATTCTAAAAAACATAATAAGTGGATTATGCATACCAAATATGAAGTATCTATCTCCTATGGTTCAAAATTGATGGCAAAAGTTCGAAAAATAGTTTTTGAGCATATAGGTTACAGTCAAGGTCACAAGGTCATTGACCTTTTTGACATTCGAAAGAACTTACCCAGTGGAGTATTCATACCAAATATGAAGTCTCTGTCTCCTATGATTCAAAAGTAATGGCAAAAGTTCGAAAAAGCTAATTTTAGCATATAGGTCACAAGGTCATTGACCTTGGTGTCAGTCGAAAGTGCATAATTATTTGAGCATGCATACATGTACCAAATATAAAGTCTCTTCCTCTCTCGGTTCAAAAGTTATGGCGAAGGTAAAAGTTGACAACAGGACAAAAACAATATACGCCCCGAATAAAATTCGGGTGCAAGTGAATGTCATAAAAATAAATGTACTTGGCGCCTATGATAACAATATATGAAAAACAAAGATATATCAATTTCTTTGGAAAGTATTCTTCTTTTCTTAGTCCAGGATTGAGTAGATCAAGGGAGCATGACAGATTGATTTCTGACCATTGTAAAGACGCAGATGTCTTCGTTCACGTGGTAGATGCAAAATCGACAATTCGTACAACGGTAAAATATTTTCCATGTCTAATGAAATTTAATTGAAGTTATTGAAATGATTTTTTAACACTTTTTTTGCAATTGATAATGTTTTAAATTTTATACATTATTTTCAACGCTTTTTTAGCTCACCTGAGTTGAAGGCTCAAGTGAGCTTTTCTGATCACATTTTATCTGTTGTCCGTCCGCCTGTAAACTGCTCACATTTCCGACTTCTTCTTAAGAACCACTGGGCCAGTTTTTACCAAACTTGATACAAAGCATCCTTAGGTAAAGGGAAATTTGAATTATTAAAATCAAGGCCAGGTCCTTCCTCTCAGAAGGGGAGATAATCAAGAAAAGACAAAAATAGGGTGGGGTCATTTGACATCTTCTTCTCAAGAACCACTGGGTCATAAAAGCTGAAAACTATGTGGAAGCATCCTGGCGTAGTGTAAATACTAAATTGTTCAAATTATGACCCCCGGGATTTAGGTGGTGCCACAATAGGGAATCAAAGTTTTACATAGAAATATATTGAAATGATTCTTTGAAAATCTTCTTCTCAGGACCCACTGGGCCAGAAAAGCTTAAACGTATGTGGAATCATCTTGCGGTAGTGTAGATACTAAATTGTTCAAATCATGACCCTCGGGGTTGGGCGGCGCCATAATAGGGATTCAACGTTTTCCATAGAAATACATAGGAAAAATATTCTTCTCAAGACCCACTGGGCCAGAAAAGCTGAAACTTATGTAGAAATATCCTGGAGTAGTGTAGATTCTATATTGTTCAAATCATGAACCCCCCCCCCCCCGGGTTGGGGTAGGGGGTGCGCGAGGGACACACTAGGGAAAGTTTTAAATAGAAATATATAGGAAAAAAAATACTTTAAAAATCTTCTCAAGAACTGATTGGCCAGAAAAGTTGAAACTTATGTGGAAGCATCCTAGGGTAGTGTAGATTATAAATTGTTCAAATCATTGCCCCTAGGGTTTGACGGAGCTACAATAAGGAATCAAAGGTTTACATAGAAATATAAAGGGAAAAAATTACAGATCTTCTCACGAACCTTTGGGTCAGAAAAGCTGAAATTTATGTGGAAGCATCATTGGGTAGTGTAGATCTGAAATTGTCCAAATTATGACCCCAGGGATATGATGGGGTCACAATGAGATACAAGGGGAAAATCTCGTTAAGAATAGCATGGTTAGAGCTTCTCAGGTGAGCGATGTGGCCCATTGTTTTTAAAATGTCCTCGTTAATTTTTTTTTCCATTTTTCTGTTGAGACCAATGGCTGGTGGTGCAAATGTACTGTTGGAACCAAGACCACTATGCCACAAGTTAATGCATTCTATTAAAATCTTTTCTCATAGAAATAAAGGAGTCAAACTGGTGGCATTGAGATTATAATGAAAATGCATAAAATCTATGAAAATTTTCTCTGTTTCTAGGTATTAAATAAAATATCTTAAGTATATATAGTTCTGTTAAGCATGGATGCCTCTTCCAAAATTGTGAATTTGAAGACCTCTTGGTCAGGGGTTCGAATGTTAGATCGAGGTTCTATTGATTATATCGTACAAATGCAATATTTTTCTGTAAATCTTCTCTGCTCATAGGTATTTTAAAAGAATATCTAAGTGCATATTTTTTTAAGTATTAATTTCTCTTCAAAATTGATAATTTATTGCATGACCTCTTTGGTTTTGATATAAGGAGGGGGGGTACAAATTATATAATGATAATTGTATTATTCTTAATTTTTTTGAAAGTCTGTGCTTCTAAAATTTCTATGTAATTTGTTATAATAATGAGCATGTATGCCTCTTCCAAGATTTTGAGTTTCAATACCACTGGGTCAGAAGTTCGGGTACATGTGAAATGATTGGACTCTATTGATTGTATGAGAAATGTATCATTTCTTCTAAAATATTCTTATCCGATCTGGGTTGATATTTATTGAAAGGGGATGGATGCATGGTAATAATGAGCTTCACGATCAGCGAGTAACGTCAAGGTTGCTTTGAAGCACCTTAAATGCTCATAAATTACTGAATAAACAAGACATTTTTAAGTTATAGAAATATTTGTAAATCAAGAAGCCCAAGTACCTTGAATCGCTTTTCTGACAAAAAGTACAATCTATCACTTCTATTTGAAGCCTCTGAATCTTAGAATCCTTAGACCAAGTTGCAATAACTAACAGGTTGATGACTCTTACCCATATAGAACTGAAGATATTTTAATTGAAGTTTTCTGAGGACTCAAGATACATTAAACGACAAAGATTGAAAAATTCAAGCCAATAAGTTCTTGAAATATTCAAAAGTAGGTCACTGTAATTTACTTTTTTGTCTAAATTCTCCGAAAACCCAAGATGCATCAACTGACAATGTTTGATGCTTCTTAGCCAATTAGTAACAAAGATACTTAAATATCGTCATTAAATGTCACAGATATGTCGCGGTAACCTACTTTTTGGTCATTTTCTAAAACCCCAGATGCGTCAACTGACGAAGATTGATGATTCTAAGCCAAAAGGTACCTGAGAAATTCAAAAGTAAGTCATCATTTATTCGACTTTCTCAGAAAATCAAAGAATCCCCAACTGACAAAGTTTAACTTTTCTAGGTCAATAAGAACTCGAGATACTAAAAAATTAATGTCAAAAGTAGGTCAAGACGTAATTTTTGGTTTGCTTTTCCCGGAAAGTTTTATTATTCTCAGCCAATAGGTACGGGAGATATTTAAAAAAAGCAATAGAATGTCAAACGTAGGTCACTATGACCTACTGTTTGGTCGTCATTCTCTGAAAACCCAAGATGCATCAACTCACAAAGTTTAATGATTTTAAACCAATAAGTACCTAAGGTACTTAAATATAGCAATAAAATGTCGAAAGAAGGTCACCACAACCTACATTTTGGTCGACGTTTTCCAAAATTGCAAGATGCATCTACTGACAAAGTTTGATGATCATAGGTCTGAAAGGATTCATAATATGCCTTTTAAACAATTTGAATTTAATTTTCTGCAAAATTCAAAAAAGTAAGTCACAGTGACCTACTTTTTCTTAAAAATGTTTAAAGGCACCATGATGCAATCAACGTACAAGATTTGTTTATTCTAAACCTCTCAGAGTCAAAAATAATAGGATTAAATGTTTTCGAAAGGATTAGCCATAAAATTCGAAAAGTATGTCAAGGTGACAAAGCATCATTCTCTATAAGGCCGTTTTGCGGCCTCAAATTTTCAAAAAGTATTTTTCCCTTAAAAATTGCATGAATAACTAGGCATATGTTCCAATTTAATGATAAATATTGGTTGGTTAATGATACAATAGTATTTTTAATGATATATGGTCACAAAGTAAGGTACTATCGTTCCGTATTAGCATTCGAGTAATGGGAAAACTCAAGAGGTTGGCTGTGTAAGATAACACCTACGCATGTCATAACCACCTTTAACCAACACCAAAATTTGCATGTAAATTTCTTATACACATAAAAAGTGACTTCCAAATTATGAATTTGGTTAAAGGTGGCTATGACATCTAAATAAAAACTTTTCACTTCATTTTTTCGATATATGCAGAAAAAGCTAACTACTCACAATGAAGGATATCAGCTTTTTTAGATTATTTCTTTTTATAAACTTTTGGTTAGAGTACAATTTTCTGTAGATTTACTAAGATTTATATCAGCCATGCATATTTTACTAAAAATATGAACTTTTTACGTAAAAGATCTAAAAATCAAAGTACTAAGAACACTTACAATTACAAGTGGAGACGTTTCTTTGAAATGTCTGATAAGAATTAAAAAATAAAAACCTTTATAGGCTATAGGGTGTGAATATGAGTTATATTTTATATTTATAATAATAGTTTTGTTTATCTGTATAGTGTATATGCTACTTCTTTGAATTCCGTTATGAATACTACTTATATAAGTATTCCTTGTATTTCCTTATGAGCACTGTTGAAGTTCAAGAAATGATAAAAGCCATCTTTTTTTGAAGCTTTAACGTGCATTTATTATTTGTGTCAC